TTTCCTCCAACCCCTCTCAGGCCTCCCCCACTCTCAAGTTAATAGCCTCTTTTATCATGGTTACATGTGTGTGTGTGTGTGCACAGAGCTAAAAATATAACACAAACTGCTGTTGTGTAGTTTGTGTAGGTGGTTTCAGGGCTGACCACTCTGCACTGGACAGCTGATAGGAAGGCTGATCCCTGGGAGAGGCTAATTCTCCACCCAGCAGTCCTTAGGTCCTTCTTTGTCTAGAGTTGAGGTCCCACAGAATTTTCTTAATCTTCATAAATTTTGGGGAAAAATTCCTATTTACAAGACTTCAGGAAATGATGACAGCCTCACATTTTTGGGACCAGAATTTTCAGGAGAAGTCAGGTGACATTGTCTCAGCCCTGAGTGAGATCCATTTTCCCATGTACATGGAACACTGCACTGGGTAAATTAGAGAAATTATCTGCTTACCCAAATAATTCTCTTTATACTCCTGAGGTTTTCAGTTTTAGATATTCACTAAGTTCATCATCTTCAAATACAGAAGACATTGTTCAGTGAGACTGGTGCTGGGGATGGGGCATTTGATCCATACTTAATAATGAAAATGAAGGTTCTCAACAGTTTTCCGTGGTAGGCATGAACAGATTTGATGGCACACTGAAAGAGATTGAGCATCTCAAGACAGCACAAACAAGTAGCTAGTAATTGGAACACAATTCCTATCACACTGTAGTGATGCTTCCCAGGGTGCATAACAACCTTCTGCAATCACCACGCTCCTCACTATAATGCTCCAGTGTTGCCCGTTTTGACTGGACTCATTGATTTCCATGACCTCATTCTTTTATATACTCGAAAGGCATGATCTTTTTGTGTTCCAGTGAACAGCCAGCCTTTATTTGGATCTGCATGGATTAAGTTTCTTACCTCTTATTCACAGTAAATTGTCCCCTGCTTTACAAAATCAAAAATAAAATATGGCAGCACACCCACACAAGGCCCACAGAACACGGTGACTAGCAGTCACTGACTGAGAACCAGTGTACCTCCAGCATCTGTTGATTTATATGAATAACTCTCCTAGGAAGTCAGTACTTGAAGAATGGTTTCTAAAAGTGCTGTATGTGTGGAGCTTCTAGAAGGAACTGAGTACACAAAGACAATAATAAAGAGCAGCTAGTAACACAGGATACTTGTATCACAGAAGAGCTTGTGTGTTGGACTTGCCTCCTCAGTAGATCTTGAAGCTCTGGTCCATGGTACCTATGATTATAACCTTATTGGGAAACAGAGTCTTTGCAGATATATTCGAGTTAGGATGAGATCATCCCGGACTATGGCAGGGCATACTTGAAGGACCCTTTAAGAGTGGCAAACTTGTTCAAAAGAGCATAGAAACACACAGGGAGAATGGCAACCACTGCTGGAGATGGAAATCAGAGCGATGTGGTAACGGAAGAATGCAGAGGATTGCCAACAACCGCTAGACTTGGCGGAAAGGCTTGGGACAGGTTCTTTCTCAGACTCCAGAAGGAACCAATCATACCAACATCTTGATTTTGGACTTGTGGCCTCCAAAGCTGTGAGAAACAAACTTTCTGCCATTTGAAGTCACTCAGTTTGTGGTGCTCTGCTGTGAGAGATCTAGAAATGTAACTGTTTAGATGAGTCTCTTCCATCAATGTAGCCTCTGTTAGGATTTTGCCTTGTATGGATATCACAGACCCCCTTGAAATGTCTGTTGGAAAAATTACTTCGGTGTCAAATTGCTCACATTTGAAATCAAGAACCACGGCCCTCCCCCTTCCTGGAATCTTAACAGCTCACGCTTTAGTAAAAGCATCACAATAATTGCTGTGGTTTCTCTGAAAGAATGTGTTGATAGGGGCTCATGGTTTTCTCTTTCCTTTTCAAATGCTGCAGAGCCCTTTCTTGTCAGTGCTATGGGGCTTCAGTCAAATGGCACTGTGAAGTCTTTTCAAAGACTAAAGACTGAAAAAAAGATCCCAGCCTGTAAGGAAGGAGACTAATAGACTTCCCACTTCCTCTTCACCCCAGTGTCTTCTCTTCCTTTGCTGGCAAGAAGTATGAAAGACAAGGAGACTTGTGCTTGGAAGGGATGAGTGGGGCGTGGCAGTACACAGCTCTCCAAGGGGGAGAGGCACTGACATTCTGTGGATTATGCCGATTTACTGGTTATGTCAGAAAAGGCTGTCAAATCCACTGAGCCTGTTGAAATCACCCCGGGGATCCCATAGCTGCCTTTGATATTTAGAATTGAGGAGGTTGAGGTAAACCCAGTTCAATTAAGCATGTGCTACTTTAATCAAATAAGGATTAAGGGCAGGCAAAGACAAAAATAGTACCTTTACTGATTTCTGAGAGATAATTAAATCAGATTTACTATGCACGGAGTGAAAGAATATTACAAGTCTATAAAAGAGGAGACCTTAAATTCAGCAACATTAAGTTAATGCTTCTGGATCAGCAAGGCAAAGAAATCCCCTCATTGTTGGGTGATATCAGGGAATCAGCATAGTTAGGAGCCATTAAAAAGATTGTCAAGAGTGAACAATAACTATTCTCAATCATTCATGCATAATAGGCCACACAGATACAAAAGAGTTTCATCATATAGTCTTTAAACTTAGTGCATAAAATACAAAAGTCCTCAACTCAAGAGAAGAAATCCACTCTGCCATTGAAAGTCTCGTTGAGACCCTTGTTGGCAATTTTACATAAATACATACTTAATATGTAATATAGTTGATGCCATTTCCCCATAAAGAAATCATGAATCTTTATTATCGGTCTATCTATCTATCTGTCTATCTGTCTATCTATCTATCTATCTATCTATCTATCTATCTATCTATCTATCTGTCTGTCTGTCTGTCTGTCTGTCTATCTATCTATCTATCTATAATGTATAATTTTCCTTGTATTGCAATGACTCTTCTGTGGTCTAGGTCTTGATGTCTGGGTGAGCTTTCACGTGGATTTGTGAAAGTTCCTTTTTTGTGTAATTCCCTTTCAGGCCTCCAAAAACCTATGATGTGGAGGCGCAAATTACTCAGAATTAGAGAATCTGAGCTTGCTTTACCCAGCAGGGCTGCGTAAGGAGATGATTTGGTCACAAGCATGTTTACCAGGTGTTTGGAAGGGTTTACACTTGGATATATGTGTGCTTTGATTTTGCAAGGGGGAGGTCTTTTGCCTCTCCCCTTGGCATGTTCCAAAAAGCCTTTTGAATAAACCTTCAAGGCTGTTGGGTAGTGATGCAGGCCCTCCTGAAGCTTTGCTGTGTTTCTGTCTTTCTTCTCATCATCCAGGTCTCTCTTTCTACCTAGTATTTCTTATCCCTCTCTCTCTTCCTCCTAAATCCCTAGAAAAGGTAGGAGATGGACTCCCCACTGACTCCCACAGATGGCACCGGTATGTGGGACTTAGGTACAAAGGGTAAGAGAGAGGGAGCACTATGAAGCAGGAGGCCATGCCGGTAATGAATTAACGAATTAAGTTGAGGTGGTGGTATTCTATTCTTTGTGAGTAAAATTGTAAATATAAAGCAAAGTAAAGTTAGGCTGCAGCAAGTATCTATCTCTGTCTATTTCTCTCTCTTTATTGATTTGGTAAGTCAGATTTAAAGTGATAAAAAAGTTTTGGTGAAGTTTGGAGAAGAAGCTTTAGGTCTAGGGATATGGTGAAAGTGTGGTGATATTGTGTTCCCCAAAATATTGTGCACCCTAATAAACTTATCTGGGGTCAGAGAACAGAAACAGCCACTAGATACAGAGGCCAGACAATGGTGGCACTCACACCTTTAATCCTAGCATTCCAGAGGCAGAGATCCATCTGGATCTCTGTGAGTTCAAAGCCACACTGGAAACAGCCAGGCATGGTGACTCACGCCTTTAATTCCAGGAAGTAATGGCAGGAAGCAGAAAGGTATATAAGGCGTGCGGACCAGGAATTAGAAGCCTGGATAAGCTTTTAGGCTTTAGAGCACCAGTTCAGCTGAGATTTGGATGAGGACTCAGAAGCTTCCAGTCTGAGGAAACAGGATCAGCTGAGGAATTGGCGAGGTGAGGTGGCTGTGGCTTGTTCTGCTTCTCTGATCTTCCAGCATTCATCTCAATACCTAGCTCCAGGTTTGTTTTTATTAATAAGACCTTCTAACAATTCGTGCTACATGAAGGTTTAATATAAAGTAATTGAGTAAAGTAGGTTTTCTCCAAGCATGGATAGGACCTGGGATGCAGAAAGCAGTGTCCAGAACCTAGCAGCCTCTGTGAACTTAGCAGTCTGAGCAGCTTCAGAAGCTCCAGAAGCTGCCAACAACAGCAGATGCTGAGCAAGCCAAGCCTTCCTGAAGCTTTCTTGTGTTTCTGTCTTTCTTCTCGTCATCCAGCTCTCTCTTTCCACCTAATATTTCTTATCTCTCTCTCCTCCTCCTAAGACCCCTAGAAAAGGTGGGAAAGATAGGAGCTAGACTCCCCACAGACTCTCACACTATGACATGTCCAAAAGAGATTTTTTTCTTTTTGGTCTTTTCCCTTTTCCTTGAGAGCTCACAGCAGCCTTCCTACCTGTTAATTTAACTTTACTGCATCCTCCTTACTTTGTGATTGACAGACTGCATCTTCCCATACAAAGTAATTGCCTAGAGCAAACTATCTCCTGTCATGGTATCCCTTACACAAAATACAAATCCTTCTAGATTTTCCCCTGGTTTCTGGTTCTTTGTAGAAGGTGAGGGAAGTTGGCATTTTGATATTCTTAGTGGAATGGAGGTAACTGGACTTACTTTCTACCAAGACAATCTAATAGGAACGAGTGAATTCTCCAAAAGACACTGTGTTGTATAGAGTGAGTTAGAGCCGCTACGGTACTCTACCCAGCTACCCAGGCAATAGTAAATATGTACGTATTTATACTTGACTTGTTATATTTATGTGTATTTATACCATTTTAAAGTTTGAATTTATTTCTATTCTTTTGAGACAAGGTTTCCTTTATCCCAGGTTGACTTTGGAATTCCTACATAGCTGAAGATGACTTTGAACTTGTGGTCCTCAAGATTACAGGCTTGTGCCACCACATCTGGGATCCTGCATGCTAAGCAAGCACTCTACCAGCTAAGTGACACCTTCGGCTCCTATGCAGCGGTTTTTGAGAATTATACAATTTTAATTACAATACAATTATATCATTCCTCCCCTCAGTCTTCTATTCCTTTCATGCTCCCCACCTCCACTCCTTCCCAAATTCATGGTCTCCTGTTCTTACACATTGTTGCTACATATACACATAAATGAATAATCATAGAAACATAACTTGCTGAGTCTATTCAGTGTTGCCTGCATGTATATGTCTTCTGCTGCTTTTTAATCGTACTTTGCAATGTTAATGCTTCGTTAACACCTCAAAATCAGAGTTTTACAAATTTGATATGAATTTTGAAGTATGTGAAGCATTTCTTTGAAGAGTCTCTTCTGGAAATGACTTCTCCTAATTAAAATGATTTCTTCTTTAGGGTTTAGCTGAGAAGGAATGAGGGCAATTCTACACATCAGGAATATGTCTGCTGACTTATGGAGTGTTTGCTCGTGGCTTGAAGGTGAACAGGTTATTAATTTGATAATTATTTAAAAGTTAGAAGTGCACAGGGAAGGATCGATTGGAATTACAGTAGGGTCACTGGCATTTTGATACAGTCAAGGGAGGAATCTCAGAGAGTCAATTGGCTTATGAGACAAGTAGGAAACGGAAGAAAAAGAGAATGAATTCATTTTTTATTTTATCTATTTTATCTTATTATATTATTATTATTATTTAAAACGAATTTTAAATTTAATTATATTTTAATTCTATTCTTCCCTTCCAACAAGTCCTTCCAGATTCTCTCCCCTTCTCTACTCACCAACTTTAAGTTCTTTCTAAAAAAAAACAAAACAAAAACCCAATACAACAACAAACCCCCAACCAAGAAAACAAAAAGAAAAACAAACAACAACAAAAAACCAAATACCAAACTATAACCCAATAAAAGCTCACAACAAAACTGTAGAGATTATTATATGTTGATCAGCGACTCCTGAACATGAGGCCTGCCCTGGAGTGGCTGAAATACCCAGTGTCACTTCATTGGAGAAAACTGATTTTCTCTCTCTCAGCAGGTACAAATGACAGTTAAGCTGTTAACCTTTACTTTAGTGGCTAAGTTTTCATTCATTCATTCATTCATCCATTCTTCATTCATTCTATCACATTGAAGTTGGACAGGATTGTGGTGGTATTGTGTTCCCCAAAATATTGTGCACCCTAATAAACTTATCTGGGGTCAGAGACAGGACAGCCACTAGATACAAAGGCTAGAAAATGGTGGCACTCACACCTTTAATCCTACCACGCCAGAGGTAGAAATCCCTCTGGGTCTCTGTGAGTTCAAGGCCACATTGGAAATGGCCAGGCATGGTGACACACGCCTTTAATCCCAGAAAGCGAGCCTTTAATCCCAGGGAGTGGTGGTAGAAAGCAGAAAGGTATATAAGGCGTGAGGACCAGAAACTAGAAGCATTTGGCTGATTAAGCATTTGGCTGGTTAAGCGTTTGGCTGGTTAAGCGTTCAAGCTTTCGAGCAGCAATTCAGCTGAGACCCATTCTGGATGAGGACTTAGAGGCCTCCAGTCTGAGGAGACAAGACCAGCTGAGGATCCGGCAAGGTGAGATAGCTGTGGCTTGTTCTGTCTCTCTGATCTTCCAGTGTTCACCCCAATAACTGGCCTCGGGTTTGATTTTATTAATAAGAACTCTTTAAGATTCATGCTACACAGGATAAACCAATAGAAGGAAAAGAGCCCAAGAAAAGGTGCAAGAATCAGAGACCCACTCATTTGTACACTCTGGAATCCCATGAAAACACTAAACTGGCAGTCAAAATGCAGAAAACCTGGTGCAGGCCCATGCAGGTAATAAATTTAAATCCTCCAGGAGAGGTCTTTTTTAAGACTTATAAATCAAAACCAAAAGTTGTAAGATTTTATATGTGGTTAATACATGTTTTGCTGTGAATAGAGGAAAGAGTAAATTGTTATTTAGATATGGTGTATGGATATATATCTTGATCAAATACTAATGTAATTAAGTAGTTTAGCTTTTTTAAGTGATTGGTGTTGAAGTATGTATGTTAATATGAAAACACTAACATTTGTGGTAAAAAGCAAATATTCTAACTGGTTACGTTTTGAACCTTGATCTTTGTTGTTGTTAATAAGTTGTAGCTTGATACAATTCCTGGTGTATCTTTTCTGTAAATGAAACTTGCTTTCAGAAGAAAAAAAATGGGCAATTCAGCCCTATTGGTGAATTCAATATTGCATATTAAGGTAACTTATTTTTCTCTATATAATTTCTTTTAAACCCCAAAAGGTTATGTCTCTCTTACATGATTCAGAGCATGGTAGCATCCAAGGGAGGTCAGTTTCTTGTTTTCCTTTGCTCTTCGGTAGGAATTGTTACTTTACTACCTCAAGAGTGACCTTGTATGTAAGAATTATGGGCTGGTTCCCCCTCAGGTGTTGCTTTAATTAGGTAAAACTTTTGTCGACCATTAAAAAATGAAATCAGAGAATGAAAGGTCATGTTGGAGTCCAACATGAAAATCAACAGACTCTGCTTTGCTGGAATTTTCTTAAAAATTGAATGACCATTGCATTAATAAAGATTGCATGGTGTTGCAGGCAGTGATCCTTTTCAGAATATGGAATTCTCAAACAAAATTCCAACCGAGGGCTTTAATATCCAGATAATAGCTCTTGAGGATCTGGAGGAGGTCTGTCCGAGAAACTGCTGCATCAAAAGAAGAACCAGCTCGTAGAAGAGACCTCCTGCTAGAGAAGATTCCTCCCATCCTTACCTTGGCCAGAGGTCACTGGGCTTCTCTCTGTATTCTCCTACTGCCCCACTTTCTCTGAGTTCCCTGACATCTAAGGGGCTGATTGCTAGCCATTACCCTTACAAAATCTCCCTGGAGTAGGATAATATTATCAACATTTTACAGACAAGGGAACATATGCCAGCAGCTGGCAATTATAAAGAAAATGACAAAGCAGAGATTTTAAAAAAAGTTTTGTTCTGTTCTTAGTTACTTAAAATGGCCCATGATATTCATTTGATTAATCCCGGAGTAAATGGTGTGAAGGTCCAGAAATATCTAGAAAGTTTCAGAAAGAAAAGTCTCTGTCTATCCCACAGAATTTTTTTTCTTTTAGTCTTAAAACATTTTAGTGGGGGAAATCACTAATACTTTCAGAGAAAGAAGTATTCCCTGTATCTGCTCAAGTATGTCTTAACCCAGAGAATGGAAAACCAGGGACTTACAGAATATAAGAGGGTTCTGTATGGTTATTAGAAACAGTTTTATAGAGTCAGGTTTATGCTGAATGGGACAGAAGGTGTGGCCGTGAGCAAACGTTGAGAAGCCTTGCACTGCTCATAGACGGTATGAGTGTTTATACTGGTCTATATCACAAATTACTTAGGTCAAGGTGAGGGTTGATTGCCAAGAGATGTTCTAGCAATTTGCCATTCAGGATATGTTTGTAGCCACCTTAGAATCAATCCTTCCTCCCTCCCTTCCTTTTTTCCTCCCTCAGTCCCTCCCTTCCTTCCTTCTTTCCTCCCTCCTCTCTCTCTCTCTCTCTCTCTCTCTCTCTCTCTCTCTCTCTCTCTCTCTCTCTCTCTCTCTCTCTCTTCCCCTCTAGGTCACTTGTTAAAATCCAGGGCAGGGAAAATACAACTGTGTAATATTAAATCTCAGAGCAGAAGAGAGATGATAAACACTGAAGAGTATAGAAGACCAAGTCTATTGTCAACTTATTTCTTTCATCTGGCACTTACATAAACTTCACAAACTCACAAGTCTCCAAGCCTCAGTGATGTCTTCGTAAAACACCCCATCATCTTGGATGTTTTGAGGAGTAATTGAGTTCAGTGGGTGAAGATGCTATACACCGTAGAAGCTAGAACTATATTGGATGCTTTAGTCTGACCTGGGATTATGACACAATCCTTTCAGATGATGTCAGATCTCACCATTTAGAATTACATTATAGAGACATCTATCTAAATAGCAGTGTATAAATGTCCTGATGTTTCTGTGGGTTCATAATTGGCAATTATTTCAACCCCTCCTACTTTGTATGACAGCCGCAAAACCATTCAAAAGGCTATCTCATGTTCTGTTTGTCAAAGCATCACTTTCACAGCTAGGGCTTGGTATATTGAAAGTTTTCCTGTTTGAAAATGATCAGGTGTTAGGAGAAGCACGGAATGTGCTACCGTTTTCTAGAGGTTAATAAGCCCTTTCTGCTCCTGTGTTTTCTTCAGAAAACGTCACTTCACTGGAGCCTGCTTCTCCAAATGAAGCAGAGATTGAAATGTCACACCAGCATGATCAATTAGATGATGCAGAACAGAGAGGCACTTTGCCACCTGACCTTAATCCACAGGGCAAGAAGAACTGAATGGAGGAGACTGACTCCAGATACTCAATGGGAGAAGAATCAGCAAAGCATCGTTTAAACAGACACAAAGCAGTATAAACCTTGAATCACGAGACAAACACACACACACACACACACACACACACACACACACACACACACACACGCACACACACACACACACACACACGCACATGCACATACACACACACACACACACACACACACACACGTGCGCGCGCACACACACACACACACACACACACACACACACACACACACACATATACATACTCTCGCTCCTTAAGTTGAGTGCTTATTATGGTGTGAACAGGTTCACATATTTGTTCAATCCTGTGAGGCAAACAAATGAAATAGATATCTGTAATAGAAAGACATGCTAGAAAAGGGAGCAGGTAAACTTTTTTTTTTTAAAGTTTGGGTTTGTATCATTTAACTTATTTAAGAAATGAGACAAGAAAAAGATAAATGTAAAATAAATGCAGTCTGTAGAGTGTCCTATGAAGAAGACAGTAGCTGACAACTTGTAGGGGGCATGTTATCTGTCTTACCCATATTTGAAGGCTTGTCACTGGAGAGGGGTTAGACATGCTTCGGTAGGAATGACAGAGAAGATTTGACTTAGTGTAAGGAATGGCTTCCCACTCTGAGACACTTCTAGACTATCCTTGCAAGAGCTCTGCTCAACTCCCTGCTGCTGGCTAGAGTTGGAGAGGAATTCTGACATCCAGAGGATCCTGGGCCTTCTATAATAGACCTTCTCTGAGACTTTCTGTCACCTTTAAGAGGCTTGGAATGGTCTTGGAACCCATTCAGGTATAAACCTTCATGAATTTGGGCTTCATAGACTTTGATAAGATTAATGCTTCTCAGCAATTTTATGCACACTGCAGGCTGGGGGATGGTTGCTGATATATTTAGATTATGGGCAGCTGGTGTTAGCTAAGGGATTTATTGGCTTAGTCATCCTTAGTAACAAAGATATGAAGTGTCTATCCCTAATTATTAGTTGATATCTACTACCTTGGCTCTTCAGTTTTAGATTTCTTTTTCCTTTTCCACTCAAACACAACTTAACAGGAAGGTATTGTGGTTAGGGATCTGCTAACTCCTCCCAAACTAGTAATTTTCTAGAGTCCATTGATGGTTGTGTCTATTTGTGGAGTTCAATTTTGAGATATCAGTTTATCATAACTGAGAAAAAATAGCAGAAGGCTCAGAGGAAAAAACCATGGGAACAATGAATGCCTAGGAAAGTGAGATGAGAACATGTACCCTGGGAGGCAGGGTTGGGTAGTGTTTGATTTTTCGAGACAGTCTCACTGTGCAGCCCAAGCTAGCCTGGAACTTGCAGTGATTCCCCTGCCTTGGTCTACCAGTTCTGGAATTACAAGCATCAACGGTAATGTTTATACTTGTTTTCCAAGCAATTTGCTTAGTGTAGCTATTCAAATATGAAAACATGGGTGTTGATCAGCTGGTGTACAAGAAACTGTGATTTTTTCAGCTTACTAAGTCCAGTTCTTTACAGAGCATTTTCTATGGAGACACACGAGTGGGAACTTCAAGATGGCCACATAGTAGGCACTCTACATTTAACAAACATTCTTAGGGTGAAATTCAATTCACTGCTAGTTTCAACATAAGCATCATGCTGATAACAACGATCATTAAACTTTAAAACATGTTTGCAAGGAACACTGTGCCATCTTCATTCAAGAACATCTTTTAAATTGGATAGCTAATTATCTATTTAGACTGAAAGTAGAGGAACAGTTTGGAGTACTCTCTGTAAAAGCACCCTGTTCCTGATTTCACTTTTGTGCTGTCCTTGAGTGCTTGCAAAGCACCAAGTCCACGACTCAGGAGTGAAGTAAAAAAATGTACATAAGATGAAGAGAGGAAAATGAGCTTCTCATTTGAAATCTCGATCTTTCTCTACGAATGAAGCTTACATTAGTCTTGATTTCATATGAGATTCCTGATAAAACATTACCTCACCCACTTCTACCATGCCCGACATGAGCTGTAAACCTGTGATAGTTCCTGTGGGAAATGGATTCGAAGGAAGAGACGATGGGATAAAGATTTGGTTTTTCTTTGAAAAGCAATGGCATAGGAGATACAGTGTTTCAGAACAAATGGTGCTGACAGGAATTGATAGTTTCCAGGTGGAATATGATCACAATTATACTGTTGGAGAAACTTCACGTGTCTTGTTTCTTTCTGGCTGATGAGTGCTATACTAGAGTACCCAGCTCCCTCACTCCCCTTCTACCTGACACCTTCACCTCTCTCTTACTCACAGCTAGGATATTTAGGTGGTGTGCACCTTACATATGCCTCCAAATGTTACTACTGGTCTTCTCTAGGTAAGACACTGCACAACTGAGTTACATCTCGGCCCTTCGTTATCTATTCTGATTAGCAAAACCCAGACTTCC